CAGCTTTCAGGCAGAGCCAGGGATGCTCCGTCTCCCCGGTGACGTCCACATTGAAACGCTGCCGTTCTGCCTGCGGGTGCTGCGGCTTAAATGGCCACAAGGGTTTGTTGAATGAGCAGGAACCGGACGGATCCACCACACGACATGACAGCTCCTTCAATTGTTTTGTTTTTTTAAATAATCTAATTTGAAATGTAATCTTCCTCAGCTTGTGAGAGCCAGCCACTATGAAACCTTTTTGAAAAATTGTTCTTGGCGTGGGGGGTGGGAGGGAAGGGGGGTAGAAGACCCAAGGCCAGGTTTGAGCGTCACAAATGTCTTGCTGGTCTTCCTGTGCACCTAAAGAGACATTGCTGCCTCGTCATCAACTGTTCTTTCACATTTTTGTCAACAGGTGAAGGAATTCTTCAGTTCTCTAGAGGAAAAAAGCGCACGGCTTCGCTGTGTCCAGCAAGCTGTTGAAACCATTGAAGACAATATACAATGGATGGATAGAAATTTTGAGAAAGTCAAAACATGGTTGCAAAACAACCAGCTGTAAATTAAGGCACCTTGCTTGTATTTGTCAGAAATAACTGCAAAGCTGTGAAAATTCAGGGCTGGAGGGACAGCTCAATTGTATAAATTAGTTTCTCTGGAAGGAGCTGTAAGGCAGTCTAATGCTGCTGCTCAGTATTTTTCTCTCTCATGGTTGTGGTTTGCTGGGAACAGAACTACACCATTCATTGATCTCTTTCACCAGGTAACACTTTCAAGGGAAAAGGAACGTTGTACAGTGAACTAAGGTGTAGGGGAGGCTGACTACTAGAAACCTGAAACACATTCCTTCTGAAAACTCAGACGGTACTGGGAGACAAACAACCAAGAGAAACTTTCCACCGGCAAATGCTGACCCTTCCAGTACCGTTCCTACAAAGGTACAACTGGCAGCTGAAGCTCTGGAGCAAAGCCATCGTTGCACGTGTCTTTATCTGTAGGGTTTATGTTTCCCGGAGAATAATTTTTACACCCCAAGTATCAACCGTAATTAAAATTGCATCTGTCAAAGTCAATATGGTAAGGACTGTTAGGCAAGCTTTACTGCAGTCTCTCAGGGCTGGAGGTAGTCGTGGTGGTGCAGATGCTGCGCAGGGGTGAGGCCAAGCCCCTGCTGCACTTCGGTCCCCTTGATGCCACCCTCTCCCAGTTCTGCCTGACTCGCTTTTGCTGCTGATGTAAAGACTTTGCCTGCACTGAACATACTCTTGCGCTTTTAGGTAACATTCAGAAAATGAGTACATACATTTTGTGTGGGGAAAAAAAAGAAATCAGTGAATTTTAGTTGAGATGATTAAGCATCAGTTTATTTTAGCAGGAATTTTTGCTTTTAATTATCCCTTTTTCACCTAATTGAAATGCAGCTGTTGTTGCATGTACTCAGTGACATTTAAAAGGACAGTCAGTTGTTCATAATGGTCTTTATATCTTATCTGTAGAGTAACAGTTAGAATTGTAAGCTAATTGCTCTAAGGAGAGAAATTATTAGTATGTGCTCAGAAGGGACAATTACTTAAGAAAGCCAAGTTGAAATCTTGGAAGTGGGGTTGGTTGTTTTTTTGGTGGAGGGTTTGTTTTGTTTTTTACCAGGCAGTCATAACTGGCTGCCTCTGTTTACCCACAGAAAACTTATTTTGGTACTAAACTTAAAAAAAAAAAAAAAAAAAAAATCCATTTAAGCATGTGGTAATTAGTTGCACTTGATTTCTTTGTTCTTACAACCATGCCCTTGACATGACTCCATAGTGTTTATTTCCTCTGCAGTTCAGACCTGTCTCAGTTTCCTCACCGATATGCTGAAGCGTCCAGAAACTGTAACAAAGACAAAGACTTAGGGGAAAAATGCATAATCTGGAACTAATCATAAGCTTTTGACTGTACCTTGCTTGCTCTTCTCTCAACTAGAAATTATACCCGCCCAAGAAGTTGAAACCTACTTCATTAGAGTTGGGAAAGGCTGTTGAGTTCTGCTATGGAGGGTGAAAAACTCTGTCACAATGTTTTAGAAAATACCGGTTCCTTTCGCTTGCTGCATCCTTTTATGTACGAGGCACCTTGTACCTCTTAACTCATTAAGGGAAGCAGGAATTCTGAGTAGGCTGTGCATCATGTGTACAACATTTTCTGGTATTTCAGGTATTGTTGCCTGTTGCTTGCTTTAAAATCTTTTCAGAGCTGAAAAGGCAATTTAACAAAAAATAAAATTTATTTACATGACTCTAGATATAAAGTACTTCATTTGTGTCATTTTGCACATTCATTTCTTTTGCTGTTGTGAGCAGTAATTTGCATTGCTGTTTTCTGCTTTAACTGCTTCATCGTCACTTTCTCAACCTGGGGGAAATGCGAAGTAGCACTCCTTGCCCTCCCCATGCCACAGCCCCCTTCTTGCTCCACCTCCCCCTTTTTCTAATTGAGGAAGCATCAGTTAGCTGGGGTGTATCCAGATGCCTTGCAGCCCTCTCGACGGAACAACAGGAGCATCACAAACCGGTGTGTCGATAGGACATTTATCTCAACAGAATAGATTTCGCTGACTGAGCTGTAATGAGCGGACACTAATAAACATTTCAGAGTCTTGCGTGCTGTGACGGAAGCGTGCCTGCAAAACCAGAAGCACACCAAGACTGAACTGCTTATCTGCACAGCCCAGAGAGAACCCGAACAGATGCAGGGAAGCTGGGCAGGGTTCACATACTTCATTAGAACACGCTGTTTTTCTGTTGCCTGAGAACGACTGTTAATCGTTTGTGTATCATACGTTTCAACAAAAATTTTAACTGGAATTTTGCAGCAAAATAATCGCTTCGTTTCTGAATCTACCCGTCTTTTAAATACTTCCAGGGATGGTGACTCAACCACTTCCCTGGGCAGCCTGTTCCAATGTTTAACTACTCTTTCAGTAAAGAAATTTTTCCTTACATCCAATCTAAACCTCCCCTGGCGCAACTTGAGGCCATTTCCTCTCGTCCTTTCGCCAGTTACTTGGGAGAAGAGACCGACACCCACCTCGCTACAGCCTCCTTTCAGGTAGTTGTAGAGAGCAATGAGGTCTCCCCTCAGCCTCCTTTTCTCCAGGCTAAACAACCCCAGTTCCCTCAGCCGCTCCTCATAAGACTTGTTCTCCAGACCCCTCACCAGCCTCGTTGCCCTTCTCTGGACAGATACAGCTTTGAAAACCAAAGCAAGGGGAAAAAACTGTAGCTGGATCTTGATCAGATTGTGAGGGCCTTCCTGAGGCATCACTGACAAGTATTTTGCAGGTTTTTTTTTAAACACATCATGTTCAGTTTTAATATGCCAATGTTTGGGGTTTTTTAATTGTTTCTGGCGTTTCTTTTGTCTTGCAATAGCTATTCAGATAACAGCAGTAATAAATGAGAAGTTACGAACATCATAATGCATTCTTAAAAACTTTATTAGTGTGACACAGGTTCTCAGTACAGACTGCGAAGTACAGTCAAAAGTCTAAATATCCCCAACTTAAATCTCCAGGCTGTCTCTGTCTGCAATGCTACATGTCTGATTTTGGTATCAGTACAAATGCTGGTATGACCTTCCTCTGCAAGCTAATGACTAAGCAGTACATGTGCAAGGATGTGCAAAAAGATGTTCTGCAGGTTGTGAAGTCAGAGAAAAACACATGGAGGCACTTGGCACACCTCAGTCGCGACAGCCCTGCCTGCAGCAGACTTAGGAGAGGTGCCTACTCGTGCCTCTTCTCTTGCAGAGCAGGTGAATATGACATTGCTCTTTGCAGCATTAACTTCTGCCCTATTTCTGCATTCCCTTCTGGAGTGCGAGACCAGAAGCAAGGACTAGAAACAGTGCAAAATAAAATTAAAAAAAGTCTGCCTGTTGACCTGAACTTCTCTTTGATCTCTGCTAAGGCTCATCTACCTTCTTTATTTCCTCTTCTGTTGTGGTAACGGTGTCACTGTTACACCAGGATTTGTATTTGTTCAGTCCAGGAGACTCCTGAAATTACGAGATAACAGTACAGATACGACTGGAAATAAAAAAAAAAACACTAAAAACCTTATCTGGTGTATTTTTGTTGTTTTAACTACAGTTAAGGCAGCATCCAAACTACCTGTTTTATTACTAGATGCGCTTGATGAAGCGGTTAATCCCCAGTTTCTCACTCTTTAGCTACCCTCAGCTTACCTATGGTTTCCTACAAGGAACTGGCTTAAGGAAAGTCTGCACAGCCAGGCTGAGGTGGGCTGAGGATAACTAAAGCTCATTATATTCCAGAATACTTAATGCATTCACTGCGATGTTAAAAATGCTAGCACATACAAATTCTTCTGAGATTTACAGGCACTATGTGGAGACTATGTGCAAAAGTCTGCAGATTTTTTTTTTTGGCATTGCTATTCATTTATGAAATATATTTCTTGCAAATATAAAGCATTCTTTCCCTCTGAAAACTGAATAAAATTAGAAAAGAGTCAAAGTATATGAGTATAATAAAATGAATGGTTGGAGGAAAAAAAAAGAATGGCTGGGGGGAAAAAAAAACACCTTAGGCTACTACTGGGAAAAAAGAAAATATGAAAAAAGTCCAGCAAGTATCACTGTACAAAAACCACCCAGAATAACCACATGCTTTTTTTCTTCAGGAACAATTATCCTCCAACAGAAAGAAGATGTTTTACATGATGTGTCAAGATCCTGGGGGGAAGAGAAAGAAAAAAAGTCAAGAGTGCTTATCTTCTTTAACTTGGAAAAAAAAATTCACAGAATAAATCTGGGAAGAATTATTGAAACATTGAGTCTCTAGTGTCAGAAAGAAATCCAGGAAGACTTAATATCACAAGAGATTAGGTATTGTTTGAAAGTGATACTGCAGTAAGGATAGCAGTCCACTGCAGACATGCAGCAACAATGCATCTTTGTCTTGCCCATTTGAACTCGGTTGCCAAACCTTCTGTCCTGGTTTCGGCAGGGATAGAGTTAATTTCCTTCCTAGTAGCTGGTACAGTGCTGTGCTTTGGATTTAGGATGAGAACAATGTTGATAACACACCGATGTTTTAGTTGTTGCCGAGCAGTGCTTACACTAGTCAAGGGCTTTCCAACTTCCCATGCTCTACCGACTGAGCAGGCTGGAGGGGCACAAGAAGCTGGGAGGGGGCACAGCCAGGACAGCTGACCCCAACTGGCCAAAGGGACATTCCATACCATGGGACATCATGATCAGTACATAAACTGGGGGAAAGCTGGCCGGGGGGGCCGCTGCTCGGGGACTGGCTGGGCACTGGTCAGCAGGGGGCTAGCAACTGCATTGTGCATCACTTGCTTTGTATATTC